AAACTATATCTTGATCCTACATGTAAGGAAACTCTTAATTGCTTTCGTCTGGAACAATTATGGAATATCATAAGCACATCTGACTGCATTACTAGCGGCTAAAGACTAACCTTCAAGTAACAGTAAGGAAACACTCAAACTTTTCCTGCTTGTAATAAATAATTTCTGAGAAATGGTGCTTGAGCATATGTACATGTACAGTTCTAGGAAAGACTATGAGGACGATTGTGCTAAAATCTATCTATATCATATTTTGAAGAGATTATACAGCAATTTATATTAGGAGTTCTTTTATTTTCGGTAATCAATGAAATGTCAATCTTATCACCTTTGTAATAAATCAGTCAAACTGGATGCTGTTAGCTTAACGACACAGGTTAAGGCTCATTAAAACGTCTTATAACGTTATTCAGTAGATTTATTTCTACTTCACTAATGTACTGTAGGTATCCCTACACGTTTATTCTGCAGCATAGACACTTCTTACTAAATATGTAAGATGATTAAAGTGATTAATATGGAAAGAATTTAATTGTATTAGCACGTAATAGGTATTCTGATTTACCGGAACTATGAAAAGACGTTGACATGGTGGTATTCATAAAATAATCACGTTCATTTTCTCTATCTAAAGTCAAAAGAGAGTAACAATAAGAAATGATCTTTTTTCTGCGATCAAAATTGTCGGCTATTCGGGCTTACCTTGTGACCTTGTCACTATCGTAATTTTGAAATGACGTATTTAAACATTTACAAGTAATTGTTTGTCCGAAAATTAATAAATTTAAAAACTCTAATCACTTATATATATTACGAATTAAAATTTATTTGTTTCATTTGCAGACCTATTGGAAGATTCCTTAATTTCAATCGGTAAATGAAGTACGATATTCTATATTATCTAAAAGTCTTCATTAACTATCCTACACCACCAATAATCTTGGTGATGGCTGTGTGAGCTAACTATTAACTCGAAGTTAACCTTTATTCTATATACATCTAGCTACAAGCGATATAAGTATATCTAGTATAATTTATGCTACGTGACTTACAATAAAGCTAAAGCCAAATTCAGCGTCCCAATTTACAATAATACCACATAAAAAAGAGATTCTTTACAAAGCAATCAGTTACTATATTAAGTTCATTATTTTACTTCTACTATTCTCGGCTATTAACCGCTGAATTTAGTACAAGGAAACCACAATTGTAAAAGCATGATCATTTGAAAATATGAGTTAATATACTGTACGGGAATACTCGTAAGTCAGCTAAGATAGCTATCATCAGGATCAGTAACCGATTTCGAGAATTGCGTATTTTTAACTTTCTGATCAGAGTTAGTTTAGCAGATATTGCTAGCAAGCGTCGTATGAAAGGATAAAATGATTAACCTAAATAAACTTGATTGCTTTGAAAAATTATCTCTCATGACAAAAATATCCATCTATTTTACCATCTAGTGTTAAGGGGTAATTCTATTCTGGTAATTTCCTGCTATTTTTAACTAGAATTTAATGGTTAGGTAATATTTTAAATATAATCCTTTATAACCTTTTACATTTCTCCATATCAAAGATGTTACCCTGAGTACCGATGCAAAACAGTAGATATGGCACTTTTCTTACTACCAGTCCGTGAAACCAATATTATAGAATACAACGCGAAACTGATGACTGGTACCATTACTAATAAACAGAGCTATAACTTTAGAGAATAGAATTTTTATAGACCTAAAGAAATATAAAAGTGAGTTTTAAGTACAATTAATATAGCCATTAATTTTTCACATTCCATATCTATTATTTTTAAGTTATTCAACTGCGATAATTTTATTTGATTTCTGAGGTAGCAGTCCTTACAAATAGTTCCCGCTTGTCGATGATGACGTATAAACTTCAAGCAGTATGTGACAGTATTAACTCTTTATAATGATTATTTTTCATGATCTATGTTGCAATATAATCCATCTTTGAATAATATAAAACATATCAGTTTAGAAGCTACTCAGTTCTATAGTCCACGGAAATATCATCTGTAGTTTTGCCGTTAATAAAGCCTATCATTGCTATGCCATTAGTACGAATTCCCAAAAAAGTAACGGCAGTATATTAAAATGTTTTATAGCATGAACCAAGATCCATTCCAATTATATTGCATATCACGACGGAGGTCTCTGAACCGGCATATTTACGATACAATTTCATCGTACTACTCTACTCTAAATTCTATTGATGCAGAATCGAGTTTACTTTCCTTAATTACCGGAGTTAAAAGACGAAAGCAAAAATTGGATAGAACTTATTAACGCCCTTTATTAGCTAAGCCTTGATATCCTCTATTATATCAGGATCTCTATCATTGGCTAAAGGGGGATAAATATATGCATAATTTAGTATCATGCTGCCATTAACCTTTGTAATCAAGGCAGTCTTACAGATATATTTATCCGTTGACGTTAAATAGCAATCTTATTATGACGGAATATATTGTATGGAATAAGTAGTCGAAAAATCAGCCACTTCTAGTCTAGTACAGTATTACATGCAATCACACACAGGTCACCGTAGGATAAGTATTTCACTAAAAAACTTCTAGTGAGCATGACGGGCAAGAGTCTGTCAACATCATGTCTGTAGCCAAGCAGATATTCAAACGCGCAGGATTATAATTATCTCGTAATGGCAAACTATCAGCACCTTGATATCACTGCAGCAATTTTATTCGAATCTATTGTAATTAGAATTATCTAAAGAAGAACAGATGATAAAAGATAGCGGTGAATACTGAAAATACTAAAAATACTAATTGCTCATCTTCAACTTGTTTAGAATTATTCCTCGGGTTGATATGGAATTGATACAGTATATGATTATTGGATACTAGAGTCGGAGCTTATTATTCTTAAACTATTTATGGATATTAATAGCAGGAGAATATTACAAGGTCATTGCAACGCCGAAAATTTCCCACGCAATACAGTGCATTGCATGATTACCAAATGAAAATGCATGGTATATGATAAACTCCTGTATTTTCTGTCCTGCTAAGAATAGTTGATATCCATCATTGCAGCATATGATAGTGCGAGATGTGAGTTAAATGCAATGCAAACATAATTACTCAAACATCAATTTTGGATATAAAATTAATAAAATAGAAGAATAATATGGAATTGTTAAATTAATAAGCACAGATTAGCTTTGTCTTATTGGCTATATCTTACATGTACGAAATAAGATCTAAAGCTATTTATTATTATTTTGAACACTAATAAGGCTAAATTCAAATTTACATAGCAAATGATTCATAAGTATTATAATGTTAAAAAAAGTAGAATATAAGTATGTTTCTAACGATAAATCAATTCTTTCACAAATAAAGTATCACAGCAACGGAATCACGTTTTAAAATTTTAGTAAACATAACAATGTTGCAATGCAGTGATAGGTAACTCGTGATATTACTAATAGAACTACATTGTGAGTTTACTTGCTAGATGTCATTTAGCGATAAACTAAAATGAATTCATAGAATTTGTATATTAAGTACACACAATATAAAAACTTGCATGTATACGAGTATTCTGAAATATTGAGAAAATACAACCTGCACTCAGATTGTGACATGCACGAGTCCGAGTAAAATGCCTTTTCGTGAAATGATAAATCATGCTTTGCTAATGAGCAATCATGGAACTGCTCGATTACTCTTGATGTATAAGATAACAAGGGTGTCAAGAAATTTGAAACCAATTGTATGCAGCAAAAGAATGATTTCTACTTTATATTTTTGATGTATAGCAGATGTGCATTAATGAATGAATTAATAGTATCGGAGTGTAAATTCGGTAAATGTATTAAGCATTAAAGTGCCTCTAGCTATTACTGTCATTCAGGTTTCTTAGTGCAGTTATATATTAAGTTAATAGATTTTTTAATTAGCGTTTAATAGCACTTTACTGCTTTGCACATAATGAAATACTTCAGCTGTAAAATACTCTTGTACCCCAGTTATTGCCATAAGGTAATGTGCATTGTAGATCCAAAGAAGTAGAAAAGTGGGCGTTTAGCGTTATTACTGCAGTCGTCCATTACTCATATTCGATATTCATTATTTTGGATTATTGAAGTTCGAGAATTTAATTTAAATTTCAAATGATTTCCAACATAGTATTCTCACAAAAACTCTTAGTTGTAGACACTAAACTAGAAGCTGTATACGGTATATCACAGTATTAACGCTTCGAAAAAATTATTTTTTCTTGATTTGCGTTTTACATAATCCTGCTCCATGAATAAAATAAAACACATTAATATATAAAGTAAGCGTCCGTAAGTCAATGAAATGTTCTGTATGGCTTTACCGTAAATTAAACTTATCAACACTAAACTACCGTTATAAAAATGCCATAAATGTGGCGACAATGTAGTACATTAAATGGTTTATAGCATGGCAAGGATCCATTCTGGTTATGTTTTTATGTGAGTATAACGTTCTTTTTCACGGCTATGTTTACGATTTCACCACATTGCTTTACACGAAACCCTGTTGATGCAACATGAAAAGTTTGTTTTTCTTAACTAGTCATTGATGCAGAATTAGACGGAACTCATTCACGCCTTTTCTTTAGGTTTGATATTCTTTCTCCATCCTATTAGCAGGGGATACTAAAATACGGAATTTTTCTTTAATCATTCCTGCTATTATTAAGATCTCTAGCATTGTCGCAGGTGGGGTAAATAAACACATGCATAAATTAATATCATATTGCCATCAACCTTTGTACTTAAGGTGGTCTTACAGATATGTCTATCCATTGATGTAGAATATTAATCTTATTATGCGTATACTCGTAGACTATATATTAATTATAGCGATATCGAGTGAATGGAACATGTTATTAAATCAGCCATTTCTAATCTAGTGCAATTACGTGAGACGAGTATTTCATTACAAAAACTTCTAGTGATCATCGTGACTTAGAATTTATCAACACCATGTTCGTAACCAGGCAGATATTCAAACGTACAGGACTGTATTTATCTCGTTATAGCAAACTATCATCATCGTGCTATTACTACAACAATTACCAGCAAGCCTTTCATTCTAATCTACCGTTAGTAGAATTATCTGAAGAAGAACAGATGATAAAAGATAACGGTAAATACTGAAATACTAATTGCTCATCTTCAACTTATTTAGAATTATTCCTCGATTTGGTATTAAATTGATACATCAAGATTATTGAATACTAGATTCGTCGCTATCATTCAGACTATTAAGCATAGAGTCGAGCATTAACGAAAGTATAACAGGAAGATAGGAAAACTACTAAAACTCGATCACGATTTTAATTTGATTGATTTATTTAGTGAAAATGTTTCGAAAACTACTGGAATAGAGTACGGTAGTAAATGCCAGTGACGAATAGGAGTTAAATGTAATCACAGCATGTAAACCTTAATTAAGTAAATAAACGATAAGCTACGAGTAGTCTTGGTTAAACTTATCCTTTCTATCTCCATACGGTTCTTGAAATCAACTGATATTATCTCGTAAATGCATATACTGTTCAAGCATCCATTGGTCAATTACGTTTATGTTGAAGGAGTATTCATGTGATGGTAGTATAGGATTCAAATTTTGCTCTTGCTTTCAAACTAAAGCTGCTCGATTTAGTAAAGAGAAGATTGCTCCTAGAGTAAGAGAAATGGAAGAAACAAAAATGTTTCCAAAAGATTTGCTAGAGGAAGTGGGCAAGCTTGGGGTAAGCATCATCTGTTATCGATTAGATCGCATTGATTCGATAGGATTGAAGAAATAGTCCGTATTGATGTGCAAACCTGGTCAATATTTTAGATTAGTCTTACTATCTTTCTACATTGTCTATTATTACTGTCAGTGGTTTGGTTTCCGAATTCCGCCTGAATACGGTGGTTCTGGCGGTAGTCTCTTTCAACTTTTGCTCATTGCTGAAGAAGTTTGCAAAGTTGATCCAGGTTTTAGTTCTTGCTTTGGTTATCAGAATACATTGACAAGTAAAATTATTCTTGGCTACGCTAGCGAAGAACAGAAACAAGAATACTTACCAAGAATAGCCAAAGGAATGGTAACTAATGTGATATATCTTATAGGATAGATGCTGATATACGCGTATATATTAAGCGAGCATCAGTGATACGGAGTGTCGTTGCTATAGTGGTATTATTAACTTTACTGTCTGGAAATGATAAAAATAGGTCATAAATGAATCTGTGTTAGCTAGATCAGTTAACTGTGTTGTGGCTTAAAGTACCTATACCGATACATTGTAGTTTACTAGCGTTTGCCTTTCGGAACCCGACTCTGGTAGCGATGCCTTTTCTTTACAAACGCGTGCTGTTCCTGATGGAGATGATTATGTAATTAATGGTAGAAAATTATGGATAACAAACGCTGAAAAAGCCGATCTCTATCTCATTATGGCTAACGCTGCACCTGAGCAGGTAAATTGGAACAATTTGATTAATTTATTGAGGTCACTGTTTAATGATGGATTGGACGTTACGTCTCACATTAAAGTAAACTATTTGCAATATCTATAAGTGATCATTGAGTTTGACTAATGCTACGGTACAAAAGTTAATATTTACATCCGTAATAGACGTTATGAAGGAGGAAAATGGAACTCTTTACATTCTTATTGAGAGTGAATTTCGTCAATCTTTAGGGTTATAAAGGAATTACATGTTTTATTGTTGATGCTGGGACTCCGGGCCTATCTGTACCAAGAAACGAACAGAAGGTATGTAAAATTTAATTCGATAGCAGCTCTTGCAAGTTGCAACGATAAATCTACTAGTGGAAACCTGTTAAGATACTATCTATTAGCCAATCTAAATAAAACTCCATTTACCGTATCAATATTAGTCAAGGATCTAAAATAAATCTGTTAATTTAACTTTGAAATTCTTGGCTAATAGCATGTTTTGTTCATTACTGTATAGATGGGTTTAAACATAGTTTCAAACTGTCCAGTGATGTTGGATGATGTCAGGGTAAGATGAACGGCTAATATTGTATTGAAACAAATTATCGTGATTGAATGTCTGTTTATAGATTAATTAGGATGTGATAGTTTAATCTCTATCATTGATTTAAACATAATGTTTAGGTCCCTGCTAGTAACATTATCGGAAATGTGGGTGGTGGTTACAAAATTATGGCTAATGCCCTAACGGATGGAAGAATTGGTATCGCTGCACAAGTAAGTAATAGATGGAATGAGTACTCTAGATATTTTCATCTAGTTAGAAATTTTAACTTAAAACCCAGAAAAAAATCATATCGCTCGTTGTACTTACGTCTAATAAATGTTGGTTATTTGTATGACTATTATACTTTATACGCTTAAATTTATAAATTAGGCAGTCGGAGGTGCTCAAGGGGTTCTAGACATTGCTATCCCTTATGTTATGGAAAGGAAACAATTTGGAAAGCGTCTATTCGATTTTCAGGTTATAATAGCAACTATTTAATAACAACTTGCTCATGTTTTAGCTTTTATAACTATGTTGCAATATAAAATATAGCCTCATTTTAAGAATAAAAAGAATAATAAGCCCGCAATTTATTGTCGATTTGAAAGGCTATGCAACATCAGATAGCCCAAGCTACTGTCGAAGTGACGGCTGCCCGATTACTGTATTACAATGCTGCTAAATTACTTGATCAGAAATTGCCGTCCGTTAAGGAAGCCTCAATGGCCAAATATTTTGCTACAGAGGTAACTAGATCGCTTTAATGATGACTTTAATATCATTCCTTAACTATATCGAAAGGGAGCCCTTAAAAATACCGATCGTTTTCATTTACCATCATTATCATTATTTTTATCACGAAAATGTTTTCTTTGCAAGTTTAATGACTTTAGATTGATTTATTTAATGAGGTTGCTTGTCAAGTTTGCATACAAGGCATTAAATGGCTAGGCGCTTTAGGATATATGAAAGAAATGCCAGTGGAAAAGTTTTTACGAGATTTAGTGGCAGGTCAGTAAAGCATGAAAAACTTGCTTTATCGCTTGTTAGTGCAAAGGAGTATCTAGTTTTCATATTTGATTCCATTGATCTGATTCTATATTACCATTCTGTTAGACATTAAGTTCAAAGATTACAATGAGGTCTACCATAAAAACTGTCATGTGTTGTCTTAATAAAAGTGTATCAACTTTATTCTTGCAGCAACAATATACGAAGGAACAAGCAATATTCAATTGAATACGATTGCGGCTTGCCTGAAAGCGGAATATCGATAATTAATTGAACAATTCCACAATTACGCTTTTAATTTATTTGCTATATGTAAAGTACAAGTTTGCCTTTGTATTGCACCTAACTCATGTCTGGCGCTATCATAGGATGCAACGATGGGATGTCAACGATCCTTAGTAGGATAGAAAATACGATAAATTTACAAAGAGTTTTTATCATTTACCGTTTACTTTTATTTGGTAATTATTCAATATACTCGTACTGTGTAGAAAATTTCAGAGTACGTCCAATAAATGTAAATGGAATTGAATGTTAATAGGTATTCTGTATAATGGAAATTATCAATGAAGAAGTATAAAGTTTCATCTTTAATAATTAAGTGACATCAACTGTGAGAACATTATGTATTTCTAGATTTTTGATCAGCATCGAAATTATTTATTAATTTTACCTATTGATTTACGTAATCTGATAGTAATACCATTCTTGATGACAGAGTTTGCAAACCGCATTTGTGCATATTTTATTGTAACTGGAGAAGTGTGTTATAATTTATTTGATCATAGCCAAACTAATTAAAACATCATAGGAAAGAGAAAGGTTAATGTATACCCCTCATTTAAATGATATCTAACAACAATTGAACATACCAGATACATAAGAAGATGCCCGTAGCAATATATAAATCTCAAGAATAGAAAGACGAATGTCTGTTGCCGCTACCTTTGCGCATTATACACAAGCTGGTAATGCCTTATGTACTTAGATACTTTCTACCATAAGATTGTTACCTCCAAATAGATGCAAAATTTGTAAAATAGTAGAACAAGTCGATACAGTACTTTTAAAATTTTCAGACATTAGGTGCTATTTTTGATGTTGAATGCTAGCCCAATGGTTAATAGCCAGGATAAATAGGGTAAAGAATTCGCATTTTAGTTCAACCACAGTTTTAGACGAAAGGCATCCCTACCATTTAGATAATAACGAAAGAGGCGTTTATCTCGAACAAATCCTAGATTTTCATATAGTGCTAAAGCTGGTTTATTTGATAATTCAGTTTCCAAGACAACCTATAAAAGTGATAGCATATGTTATTCCTTAATTTTTGATAGCAGTCAGGATATCTGTGATCTAATATAATATCATGTTTCATGTGCAGTTTATATTCACCTCATCGCATCCTTCTTTTATCATTTGTTCAATTGTTAGACTAACTAATTCTGATCCTAGAAATTAAAAGACGCCATTTAGAGTGCTAAATATTTTTTCTGGCAGTATTCTATTTATTGTTCGGAATTTTTGTAACTACGGTAGTACGTTCAATTATTGCTTACGACTGTCTGTTGTAGTAACATAAAAATTGCTGATAAACTTGATGGTCGTAACGCTTGTTGTATTTAGCAGTCAACGTTCTATCTGATAATATTCTATTTACTGTTAAGAATTTTTTCTAAGTACAGCAGTTTGTTAAACTATTGTCTATTACTTTCTACAGTAGTAACACGAAAGTTGATGATTGATTTGTTGGTCTTACCAATTCCTCGCTTTCTGTAATCTTTTTCTACAGCAAGCATGGCAATATAGCCACGTCGAATAGTTTTCTTATGCATATCTAACTTGGAAACGACCGCTCCTACACATTTGGAATCCACCATAGCCTAAACGGATTAGAAATTGAATTGAAGTCAATTTGGTATTCTTCGAGAATAGTCATGATTTTAAAAACAGTTCAAGACTAACAGTTATGCATTCTAGATTCTGTTATTAAATCGCTTATTCGGACATGCGTTAAGGAATTGTCCACATAAATCAGTCAAGAATAATAGTATTGTCTCTTAGCTAAGTCAGTGGCATTATCTTACCAAGTAAGCCAAACGAGGCCAATTATGTAGAAAGTAACGGTATGTATAAATGGAGTACGGCTCAGATAAATCTTTGGTTATAAGTTCAATAATATCAGGCATTTGCAACTCTGATTCATAGCTTACGTAATCAAGTTGTGATTCTTGCTTTAAACTGTTGTCTTCAGCATCATCATCTCGTATCTTTAACATATCCATGTCAATTTGAGGCTGGATACTAACATTGTTCTCATTACTTGCCATTGCTACGTACTGTACCACTAAGCACAGATTATTTTTGATTGCGTTAGTCGTTCAACTCGATTGGAAAAGGCCAATGAATTATAATTGAATAATTATTGCTGGAACAACTGTCGTGCAGGAATGGTAGCGGATCGCTTGAATTCTAGTACTTGCTTTACGGAGAATAGAAAATTGGATAACGTTGAGTCGCATAAACAAGTCAAATTCCTGGGGTTACCTTTATCCTTTCCTATAGATGCATCTGCAAATACGTGATTGCTTGGTAACCCCAACAAATGCAATGTTGGAATATTTCGATGCTATCAAAATCAAATAATCGATGATTTGACGATGGCTCAGGCCTCAATTCTCCACAACAGTACTGGACCACTCGATGAAGTTGCACTATCGGATATTTTTAACGCCAACAACTATCCAATCATCAACTAATGGACAATTATGTAGTGGTATTCCTAGTCTACAATACTAATAGTAGAAAGATTTGCGATTCCAGCTTACTAAACTCTAGTTTACAACTACTCTAATATTCCAACTGGCTACGCCATTAGCGAGCTAGATGGCATGAAGTTTCTCAAGTCTTTACAGCTGGCGAAGAGGAGAGCGTTCTCCATCACCGGCTCTCGTCTTATACTATACTCTAGTTTGCTGGCTACTCTTTGGGGTACTGTACTATCGACACAGACAATGTCTGAAAGTTGAAATGCAATGCTATACTGACTCTAAAATGATCATTAAATACTAGTTAATATATGGCGTTTTAGCTGTGTCATCAGTATACTAATAGTAATTGTTGTCGATGTCAAGCGATGGCTTCTTTTTCTTATATCTGTATAGTCAGAGTAGTACTCCTTCAGACACAAGGGTCTCATAGTGAGCAATAATTCACAACTGCATAGTAAAGTAGTATGCGCTAAGTATGATTTGGTAATGTAGCCCTATTTTAACCAGCTTTGGCCATGGCCAAGACACAGACGTACAGACGTCTGTACAGCCCGGGGAAATACAGTGTACAGTACAATTCACTGTAGATTACAGTCCTTTGTACTCTTTCCTTTGCCATCGCAGTTATGTATGAAACAGCGGCTAGCTTCCTATATATTCGTAACCAATGATTCCACAGGCGATGATGACATAGGAATCGTCCGTCCACCGCTAAATCCAACACATACCATTAGCTCGCTGTTTTAATGGCGCTCGATTTGAAAATCATCATTTCCATATGCTGGCAATAACCGATGAAATTCTATCCATTGTACATAAGATAGTTAGTAATCATTCGCCGATCGTAATTGAAAAATTGGATTAATTGATCGGAAGAATTATTGTCCGTTCTATTGAAAGATCCATTCGATCGTAGCTGATCCAGTAAGAATTGATGATGACTGATGCAGGCGATGTTGGTAGAAGCAGCCAGGACCATAATCAACATGTCCAATTTGAAAGCCAAAAATGGGATGCTGAAACGAAGACAAAGCTTGTCACCGGTATTATTCAGCTTGTGTTGTATCATCGGCATCAGATTCCTGCACCTATTGAATTGTTAGCTCGTGAAAAGCCAGTCGTTGATAAAGACAAGGACGATAAACGAGGCTTGCCTAATCAATCAGCCAAACCTTTGCTCAATTTGTTGACAGCCTTGGAGGAATTGAGTTTACATCTTAGTCCAATATTCGATTCTAATGTTATACAGGAAATGTTAGTCTTGCTTGGTCCAACAATCTTTAGCCCTAAATGTGTTTATCGTATCAATTTTGATTGTAGGGAGGATCAGATTGTTTTAAATTTACCATTTCCCAAGCCAGAAGTCATTTCACGTCAGTTAATGTTGAAATTATCGACTCATGAAGATTTTTCAATGTGCAAATCATTTCCTGTCACCAATTTATTTCTATTTATCAAGCTACCTCGTTATACCAACATCCCATGGCTATTACCGAGGCAAGATTTTAAACTACGATCGCAATTAAAGCCCTTCATTATTGATATAGTCTTACATCCGGACTTGCAAAAGCCAGAAAAGAATACAGCTGATGCGAAAGTAACGGACAAGAATGATATGATTTGGTTTCAGGTTCCGGTCAGTATAAAAGGCTACAAGGACAAGCGATAGAAACGATTACAGATGCGATATCAATTATCAGACGCGTATGTAGCTACCAGCCATGGACTGTAATTTGTTAGCAGTGTTATTTCACTAGTTAGATTGATCATTTTTCATTTTTGGACTTTATTTGCGATTGTCCGACATTGAAAATATAGATTCATACGAGTATATATGGCATATGGGTGTTAAACGATAAGTTACAAATGCTGTACCTATAGTGATCGACAGTACCGTATGAAATGGGATTTGACCAGATCATATTTTGAGATTGTTACTGATTTTAATCGACCTTGATATTTTACTATGAATTTGTAAATAGTACTTACATATGTCAAGTTTTTATATAGTAAAAGCAAAAAGGTCATCATTTTAAAGCAAAATTAATTCAAAGTAACAATGCGTAAGATGTACGTTATAATTATACTGTACTTAAAAAGGCCCAACTACGCGTATTTCGCTATGTATTGCATGTATCATATTGTAATATGTTAATGCGGTCAATTTCGATATAGCATGGCATAATCTTGTATAAAAATGTAAATTTTGGCATTTGTAAGATGCTCACGTCGTGATAATTAATTCATGTTAAAAATTGGATTAGACTATTAGCATAATAATTAGCAATGTTTGGATTGCATTGCAACGACACGAGATTTAAATGTTGATAGTCTAGATTTCGAGATAATCTACACATCATCCAACACCAATGTAGGTCATCAGTTTGCCATCTAATAAACTGGATGGGGTAGTGGTTCATTGTTCAATCCTGCGATCAAATTTCGTACGGCAATGGTCCACATTTCATTCCTTGCTTCGATGGTGGCACTCCCAAGATGAGGAAATATTACTAATCATTTAAGAAAAGTGATAAATTAAGAAGAATGGAGGAGCATTATTTACTATCATTAACGGGATTGGATAGTTGCTAAGTTAAAGTAAAGGCATTTGTACCACAGTTTTTTAATTTCTTGAGTGGATGATCTACGGGAAGGGGTTCTGGAGTTGTGACATCTAAGCCAGCAGCCTGAAATCAGAGATAGCGTGATCTTTAGTTACTTTATCAGCATGAAATTGAATGCAGCATCATGTATGCACGTATGGATAATGTTAATGTAATAGTGACAATATCATCTCATCTGGCTACTGCTACGTTATTTAGATTAAAATCAATGCTAAGAGCCAAGGGTATACCTGGATTTCATTCGACACTAAAGCATTATATAGATCACTTTGATTGACCACTTTGCCTCTATAACATCAAAAAACGACGTAACGTTCAATTTGGAAAGCGTAATGATTCAAGTTACATAAATAGCTTTACTTCAAGAATACGTAGCAAGGGCTTGAGAACCCGCATAGTTTTTTTCTTTCATCATCATACTCTTATAATACTTCCACGCCTACCTGCTTGTGTTGATAAAAATACAGTTTTTTTTCATTGCAGCAAAAGCACTCTCTCCAAATAGTCCTACATGATAATACGAGATAGCCTAATGTTATTTATACAAATATTGGCTTGCGATGCCATCATTTGATTTTTACTGACCATTTGTTTCAGGTGTTAACGCACAGCAAACAATGATAATGTCGGATTGATGCAGCAAAGTATTAAAATCAACTGAAGGGGCAATAGTTAGAGTTGCATCAGTATCGGACAAAGTCACTCGATGTTCAAATTATCATTACACGTAATATCCGACAATCATTGGTATACGGTTTAGTAACAATTTGTAGCATTATTATAAACGTAAAAATTTTTACTATCAATTACAGTTGATTAATTATAATTGTTGAGTAGCCTTCTTACCAAACTGACCATCGACTTCCTTGGCTGAAGAAATGCGGCCCAGAATCAAATTTATTATAATCATGAGCGTAAAAGAAAGAAGAATGTTACTATATGTTGATACACTAACTTGGCAAATGCGTACGCATTTTAATAGCATGCAATGCATTACAGTAATGCATTGCATGATCTGGCAACTGCTATTAAATACTCGAATAGGCCGCCACACACTATGCTAAGTATCTGAATTCGTAAGTGCAATACCTGCAGTATTAGATAGCAGATTGTGCATAGGAATAGAATCTGGGTGTAACGTAATTCGCAACATTTTATGTAAATCTGATTACAATATCCTCAAATCACTGTACTGTACATTCGTTAGCGTAGTGGATTTATTTTAGTATACTTGACACAAATACCATAATTGGAATATATTAGCTTTTAATCTATTTCTCAATCAATTAGAGGCTTTGCTATGGCAAGGAAATTCACCTCGCTGAAACAAGCCTCAAAATTTACGCAAGATACAATAGTACATATACTGTAATATTTAAAGGCCGAGCGAAAAACGGAACATGCTCGAAGGTAGAAGAATAAATAGTTATAAAAAATTATTAAAGCGAGTAGCCATATTAGCCTATAGTCTTTAACCCTAAAAAATAAAGGAATAGTCTAGATGCATCATGTGCATTACCTTCAGCCTTTTCAGAATGGCCAGTATATAAGATCTTGTTCACGTTGAAGGCAAGTAAGCGTTTAGCAACAGCAAGACCTGGAAATCCACCATAAAAGCATATTAGATCGTGATATAGTCACATTAAATGAATAGATTTGGTTGTAGTAAAGTAGCTAAGAAAATTACTTTTCAAATCTACTGACGACATTTTGCTTTATAAACCATCGTGGACATTTGAATTTGAATCACTTACCAATCCTACCAAGTCCAACAATCCCAACAACCTTATTTGATAACTGCGTTCCACATAACCACAGTACCTTCCATGAGCACCATGAGCCACTAAATAAAATGATATAAATTTTAAAATTTTAAATTTAATGCGATGGAGGGTAAGCTAAATAACGCGATTACATCGTACGGATTGATAAGTAGCCTCTGCCTGTAAAAATGCAATGAAAAAGATACCCATTTTATAATCTAAAAACATCGATAACTTGGGATGTACCTTTCAACAACAGACAGCGCTTCACGAACACGTCTGGCCGTCGTAAGCAATAGTCCTATCGTTAACTCCGCCTGCAATAACATCAGTAAATGTTGTTTATACGTGCATTTGTTAAAATTTCAATACCTACATGCATCTGGTCATTAGAGGTGTTATTGCAACATTAAGCTTGGAAATTTAAAAGTGATTTAATTAGCTTAGAGGACAGAATTAAGCTAATGTTGGTAGTAGCTTTCACTAAAATCCTCTTTATACCGTGCTTATAAAAAGCATCCGATACACTATATTCCCAAATGAAATAGAAGTACAGCCACGATTATTCGGAAATATATAACACAGTACTTACCACAGCTTCAGTGAGTACTGCTGGTGTATGTCCTACGGTTATATTTCTAGTTTGAATAGAATAGAAAATGCCTGGATTAATTCATTATCATAGCGTTCCACAAGTTAAGATGTGAGCCAGTTGATTAAGGATTAATTTGATTTTGAGAAACTACTGTAGCAGTGTAGTAAGTGCAGTGCATATCGATCATTTCAAGATAGGCTAGTATAACTAACCTTCGTTTACACTCTTCGATATCGATATGATCGAATCCAACAGAAACTGTACTAATCGTCATCAAATTAGGACCTTGGCGATAAATATGTGATTTGATACACTTTAATTATATTAAATCGCGGTTCAGTTATAATTGTAACATAATACGTACCAGCAGCATCTAAAATTTCCTTATTAATCTGATGAGTTAGAGTGCATAGTAAGCCATGACAGCCAGCAACTCCACGTATTAACTCTTCCCGTGAGATTCTATCTGTCCCATCACGAATTTCTATCTCTGCCCTACAATCGATCATGATTAACCAACGATCAGCGATCCTTTTTCGTAAGCGGTTATAAATAAATCTACCATGATTGACTACGATATTACAGTACATCAGATCAGGTGCAGTCCTGAGACTAGCAACATGAGGCTGTTTAATGAAATAAATAAACCGACATGAAGTTGAATATTAAGTTATACATTTGAATTTTCTATTTAATAGGTGATAACGTTTGTACGTATAAAAATATACCCAAAATTATACAACATGACAAGACTATGATTTCGTGTTGACCTTTACTTTATCTACTCTTGTAGCAAAACTATACAATCATATGATCGGAATGTGCCCCTCTCTCGACAGTTGCACAATATTGTATTCTACAAGCAAGATCTATTTTAGAATGAGCTCTACAATTCTACAGTATATAAAATCAAACTAAGATGGCCTATAACGATATGTTTAGTGTAGATTTCAACGTACAAATGAAGTAGATATTATGCCAGTCATACTGGAATGATGATAGATGGTGTGGCAATTCTATAGTATTCTAGGCAATGTCTTGTTAACGATCGTATTAAAAGGAATTTGCACTAGCATAAGAAGACTTCAAGAAGATATATTAACGCTATCGTTTTCTATGATCGAGCTTTGCTCCACTCGATCATGAATATCATATTCATTTGCAATAAGCTGCCATCAGTAAACGTTAGGGCACACTCGTATCCTACAATATCCTTTAGTTGCTTAGTCATACCCACTAGAAAGTAAATGTTGCCTTGATTCTGGTGGTAATTCTCTTACAACGAAAATCTTGGCATTTGGATTATTGCATTTCATCATGCTGCACCATTCGCTGTCTACTCCAACCTCCAATTAGGACTAATTTAGGAGTATGAGCGTGCGTCTGCCTTTCTGCACCGGAAGGTTACCATCTACTATAGGAAATACTACCTTGCGTCGTTCTTGCACTAGGAAACTGTACAAGATGGCATAGTATCTTCTATGCAGAATAGTCAGTCCGTAGCACATACCATGAAAGCATTATCATGGTCGCTCTGTATATTTAGATTGTACAGTGTACACACAATTCATTTATTTATTTATTTATTTCTTCTTCTACTATAATAGAATATGTTAACTTGATGTTTATTTACGAAAGCCTTTGATCTACTAGCAAGTTTGTTACTTCAAATCTTCCCTATGAGGTAGTTCTATCTCACTGTATTTCGAGTGAAATTGGATAATAAATTAACAATTCTGATCAGAGAGGACGATGAGCAAAACGACACGAAGTCTTGTCCTAATAAAATTAATTTAAAATTGTACATACTCGTATTTAATCTACTCCAATTGACTGACTTCGCTCTATGCGATATTGCTTGAATTATTTCCAGGGTGAAAATCTCTTTCATTTCATTTCTTACGTACGCGTATGTTCTAAAAATACTCCATTAATTAATGGAAGCCGTAGAGAAAATAGTTTGCTAACTAGAATTGAAATATTTGGAGTAGGCTACAATCGGTGTCAAAATACGGTAGTTACGTTAGAGCAGCATGGAACCTGGTTGGTGTTGGATTGTACAGAGTGTTATATAAGGAAGAATAAAGTAACCTGTTGTGCTGCACCGAATGTGTTGTGATACGATAACTTATTTAAATGGAGTAAATCCTAAATAAAAAGTGATTTCTAGAAAGCCTACTAGGTGAAATGTATCAAAGTCCCTCGTACCAACGTCAACGACTAAGCGTGGAAACACAACGCACAGGAAGACTTTCTCTCGTCCACCACAACTAATTAAATATTCATTCTGATGGCGATGACTCGTGACTTTTCATCTTTTATAGCAGCATCATTAACGTTATAAATCAATTATCTGCTCTCCTTATTGCCATAGGCCAAACATGACAATACAGTACGAATAGAGATAGAGAATGGGATAACAGCAGCCGACGAATGTTCTCAATTAAATTAGCGAATGTGATATCATATCGACCTGTTGTCTACTAGGCTAAAAGCCTTTTGTGTAGTCCTTTGCAATGCGTGTATATCCATTCCATTCTAAACCAATTAATTAATTATTAGTCTTGAGGTGTGGAAGTTGCGTACTTGTGAGAATTTCGATCGATAGGTTATCAACAACCATGGGCATTTTTCTATACTTTCAATGCGTATTAAGTAGTAAATACTGTTTATTCCTCTTAAGGTATCCAAGCTTGCAATAGTATATCATAGTTCGATCATGGGTATAAGCTAGATTCAGTGTCTTTTCTTCGAAGAGATCTCTCGGATGTGATCAGTTCTGTAATACAGAACTTTAGCGAATAGATGGCATTATTATTATTACAACAAGTGCTAAATTGTGCAACTAATTTAGGCAATAAAGTGGAACAAGGATTCAAGTCTAGAATAAGATAGACTTGATAAACGTGCCAAAGATAATTATTAAATGCCTTGTAGGCTTGAAAACAATTTACTGCTGATTTTCGAATTTTTGGCGCTTTTTTAGTAATCGTGATTGATAAGCGGTAAAATGTCCTTCTCATTTCAATCCGATCAATTTATTCTGACACCTTTAAAATTAGTAACAAATATGCAGTACGAGCACAGAATAATTCTTGAGGTAGAAAAGCTACTGCAACCCCGAAACAAGTGGCTATTCACGAAAGATAGTTACACTACCGGGTCCCGGGTCTGTATTTAGCGATGATGGTTATTAATTAATTCTAGTAGCACCAGAGATAAATGGAGATGATACTGGCAGAAAGTTGATTTATAGAGTATGATTAAGTCAAGTTAAAGGAGAAAATTGCAAGTCTTTTTATAGTATTTACAAGACATTTCATGCTACAAACTTGAAGGTGTTTTACAGTATAAATCGAAGATGCGGAAGAAAGGTCATCGTAACCAATGGTAGGCATTTCCTGTGCCTTTGATTCATCGTCGTTACTAAATAATCATATAATTTATACTGCATCAACTCGCTGTCATTCCGCTAATAGATTGGACTTGATGTATTCAAATTGAGGCATACAACCAATGCAGTATACAATTCTTCAGTTATAAAAGCTTGAAATGCTATCCGACAATGAATTATAAGATTGTACAAGTATCGGTTTGCCAAAGATATCGACAGTACATCCTTTGCGGTATGCTATTATGGCCCTCACGCTTTATTAGCCATTGCTGAAATTGCTGAAATTATGCAAGATTTTTCAATTTGAACAACATTTTACAATGGAAAAATGGAGGGATATAATTTGTTGCACATCTCTGTAGACTCCTGGTAGCCATCATTTGGTACTATGTGTCGACCATAGCACACCAATAAAGCCAAGGAGTCGCACATTGCATCATTTTATCCCTTGCTATTGGACTAGACAGTTTTCAGACTGTGCATTTTTGGCATAAGCCATTTTCTGTTTCACCTCGTATCATCGGACGATCAATACTGCTGGAGCTCGTAGCCATGAGCTGACAACGATGCCACTAAGGATAGATGGACTGTTCTAGCTTGCCATTCCGTACTATGCTAGAGTCATCAACTACTACCTAACATTAGCATATAAAAATAAAGTTCTACAGTATTCATGCACACTACATGGTTCTATCCTTTGCCATGGAACTAAAAGTCTTGGAGATGCTGTTTTTTGCATAGGCCATTTTTCTGTTTCACCTTGTACTCATCGGACGATCAATACTACTGGAGCTCATAGAGTATTCATGCACACTGCATGGTTCCAACCTTTGTTATGGAACTAAAAGTCTTGGAGATCCTGTTTTTGCATAGGCCATTTTCGATTTCACCTTGTACTCATCGGACGATCAATACTGCTGGAGCTTGTAGGGTATTCAAGCACACTACATCGTTCCATCCTTTGCCGTAGAACTAAAAGTCTTGGAGATCCTGCTTTTGCATAGGCCATTTTCCATTTCACCTTGTACTCATCGGACGATTCATATTACTGGAGCTCGTAGAGTATTCATATACTGCATCGTTCCAACCTTTGTCATGGAACTAAAAGGCTAGGCGATCCTGTTTTTGCAGAGGCCATTTTCTATTTCACTTTGTACTCATCGTACGATCAATAAAGCTGGAGCTAGTAAAGTATTCATGCACACTATATCGTTCCATCCTTTGCCATAGAACTAAAAGTCTTGGAGATGCAGTTATTGCATAGGCCATTTTGTGTTGCACCATGAACAGGTACTCATCGGACGATGAATACGCTACTAGAGCTCGTACTCATCATCTGCAAGTGGATATCCTGTAAATAGCACAACCGATCTATGAGCTACCCTTCACAGCAGAGTACTTCGCTCCTTATTCGTAAGTAGCTTAGAGTCGTCGTGCATAGCACATCTTTAAAGTCGTCCAAGAACCTATTGCATCGTTTTATCCATTGCCATTACACTAGACTGTTTTTAACAGTCTACTATTCATCCTCCATTTTACCTTCCCCTCCAGGGACAGAAAACCCTGCAGGAAATCGCCTCTACCATCTACGACTCGCTATCGATGGTACGATGAGTCTGTAGACTAGCCTTGAATGATCTTTCACCATTGAAATCATTCGATAGCACATCAACATAAAGTGATGCAGTAGCACATTCATTCCGTTCATGGTTATTAGACTAGTACTAGACCAATTTTCAAAGCTCCATCACTGCTGCTGCCATTCGCCATGTTGGCAATCTTGACGTCATGCTGTCTACTTTCTCACGCCCTTGGTAGCCAAGGTAGTCATAGCATCGCCACTGCATTGCCAGCCATAGAAATGCTATACAACACTATGGATGGAAGCGCTACACTACTGCACTTTTGCCTGTTGCCATGATCCGACTGAGCGACTATATTCGACACCAATACTGCACTCGGCCCTCATTAAGCCTTGGCGATCAATCACGTTAGCACTTTCTTCTCCTGCTCTGGAGGAATTCTACTCTCTACATTCAATCCTTTTACTTATCCAATAAGTCAAGCCATCGTCTAGTAAGTGATCTTATTGAGTCGTTAACTTAATCTATGGTT